CAGGGGCAGAGCTGCGCCAGCTTTAGACTCAATCCCGGGGACCTGCAGAGTTAGCTGAAGAAATGGATTCTTCCCAACTTCGTGTTTTTGTTTTGAAGAAACAGCGTTAGAAATCACCGCGTTACCTAGTGAGCGTAGCTTACACTTTATTCCCTTTAATCATCACTGTCTTTAATAATTAGAGGAATAATCACCGGTGCATTTTATCTGTGGATAAAAACCTGGAGTAAAACGGCAGCTTAGCCGTCCTTTAGGGAAGGGCCATGTGGCTGTGGCACCCGTGTAACCCCCGGCACAGCCTTAGGAGGCGGCTCTCGCCCATTTTCTTTTCTTTTTTTCAATATATTTTTATTCATTTCAGAGAGGAAGGGAGAGGGAAAGAGAGAGAAACATCAAACCCTACACTGGGGATTGAGCCCGCCACCCGGGCATGTGCCCTGACCGGGAATCGAACCCGTAGCCTCCTGGTTCAGAGGTCGATGCTCAACTCCTGCGCCTGGCAGCCGGGCTCATGTCCATTTTTTATAGAGAAACAGGCACAGGGGTGAGGGTGGCTCAAGGTCACATGAGGTGCCTGCATTTTTAAAAAATAGATTTTACTGTTTTCATTTTTAAAAAATAGATTTTATTTTTTAGAAAAAAGATACACACTTACAGAAAATGGGAAGAGCTAGTACCACGAGTTCCTGTGTGCCCTGCTGCTTTTGTCTTTAACATCTTGCCTTACTGCCTAGGGACTGACCGACGCTGTTAAAGCGAGGGAGTTAACTGATACATTGTTGCTAACTGACATCTAACAGGGATACATTGTCGCTAACTGACGTCTAACAGGATACATTGTTGCTAACGGACATCTAACGGATACATTGTTGCTAACTGACATCTAACGGGATACATTGTTGCTAACAGACATCCAACAGGATACATTGTTGCTAACGGACATCTAACGGGGAGACATTGTTGCTAACGGACATCTAACAGGGATACATTGTTGCTAACGGACATCTAACGGGGATACATTGTTGCTAACGGACATCTAACGGGGAGACATTGTTGCTAACGGACATCTAACGGGGAGACATTGTTGCTAACGGACATCTAACGGGGAGACATTGTTGCTAACGGACATCTAACGGGGAGACATTGTTGCTAACGGACATCTAACGGGGAATACGTTGTTGCTAACGGACATCTAACAGGGATACATTGTTGCTAACGGACATCTAACGGGATACATTGTTGCTAACGGACATCTAACAGGGATACATTGTTGCTAACGGACATCTAACGGGGGATACATTGTTGCTAACGGAACATCCAACAGGGATACATTGTTGCTAACGGACATCTAACGGGATACATTGTTGCTAACGGACATCTAACGGGATACATTGTTGCTAACGGACATCTAACGGGATACATTGTTGCTAACGGACATCTAACGGGATACATTGTTGCTAACGGACATCTAACGGGATACATTGTTGCTAACGGACATCTAACGGGATACATTGTTGCTAACGGACATCTAACGGGATACATTGTTGCTAACGGACATCTAACGGGATACATTGTTGCTAACGGACATCTAACGGGATACATTGTTGCTAACGGACATCTAACGGGATACATTGTTGCTAACGGACATCTAACGGGATACATTGTTGCTAACGGACATCTAACGGGATACATTGTTGCTAACGGACATCTAACGGGATACATTGTTGCTAACGGACATCTAACGGGATACATTGTTGCTAACGGACATCTAACGGGATACATTGTTGCTAACGGACATCTAACGGGATACATTGTTGCTAACGGACATCTAACGGGATACATTGTTGCTAACGGACATCTAACGGGATACATTGTTGCTAACGGACATCTAACGGGATACATTGTTGCTAACGGACATCTAACGGGATACATTGTTGCTAACGGACATCTAACGGGATACATTGTTGCTAACGGACATCTAACGGGATACATTGTTGCTAACGGACATCTAACGGGATACATTGTTGCTAACGGACATCTAACGGGATACATTGTTGCTAACGGACATCTAACGGGATACATTGTTGCTAACGGACATCTAACGGGATACATTGTTGCTAACGGACATCTAACGGGATACATTGTTGCTAACGGACATCTAACGGGATACATTGTTGCTAACGGACATCTAACGGGATACATTGTTGCTAACGGACATCTAACGGGATACATTGTTGCTAACGGACATCTAACAGGGATACATTGTCGCTAACTGACGTCTAACAGGGATACATTGTTGCTAACTGACATCAGGGTCTATTCCTTTCCTTGGTCTTCCCAGCCCGGCCTTTTCTGCCCCGGGCACCGCAGGACGCTTAGTGGTCCTGTGTCTCAGGCCCCTCTGTTGGCAGTTGATCAGACTTTCTTTTTTTGTTTGTTTGTTTTGTTTATTTTTAATATGTTTTTATTGATTTTTAGAGAGAGAGGAAGGGAGAGGGAGAGAGAAACATTAACGATAAAAGAGAGAGAAACATCATTGATCGGCTGCTTCCTGCACGCCCCCTACTGTGGATTGAGCCCACAACCCGAGTCTGTGCCCTGGCCAGGATTTGAACCGGTGACCTCCTGGTTCATGGGTGGACGCTCAGCCGCTGGGCGGACTGTCTTTGTTTTTAATGATCTGGGCAGTTTTGAGGAAAGCTGGTCAGGCACTTTGTGGGACGCCCCCTGCTGGAACGTACCCGGTGTTCCCCCCCTCCCCCCACCCCCGTGGTTGGGTTGGGGAGGACATAGCCACGGCCTTGGGGAGACGGCCTCGCGGGCTGTGGCCTCTGGGGGCGGGGCTGTGGCCTCT